CTTTAATACAACAGCAAATGTACAACGTTTCGACAAGGTTTTGTCATCATCAGGTAATATAATATTTCTTTATTAGCATAGCGGGTTTTATAATGACACAAAATAACAAGTCATTGCATTGTTGGGCTTGGCATGGCCAGGTGGTTAGGGCACTCGATTCGCAACCTGTGGGTTGTGGGTTCGATTCCCTGTACCAACAAACATGCTCGCCCTTTCAATCGTGGGGGTGTTATAATGTGATGGTCAACCCCCACTATTCATTGGTAAAAGAGTATCCCAAGAGTTGGCTGTGGGTGGTGATGACTAGCTGCCTTCCCTCTAGTCTTGTACTGCTAAATTAGGGATGGCTAGCACAGATAGCCCTTCATGTAGCTTTGTACGAAATTCAAAACAAACAAACGTTGCACTGTTTTAAATTAGTGAGTGAGACTAGGTACAAACAGGTGCTCAAGCCATTTAAACTTTTATTATTTGAGATAGCACATTTCTTGTCATGTGTGGCTGAGTAACTGGCTCCAGAAACATTTCATGGGTATGTAGCTACATGAAACATACGTACTTCGTCTGGAATTATTGATATGGTAATGTTTTTTGTAATGAATGCTGTGCTAGAAGAGTACCATGGCTTAAAAAGGTTGAGAACCACTGACCTATCTGAAGTATCCCATTATGCCAGAGAGGAAGATTGTACAGTAAATTTGAATATTACTGATTATAAACCATACACAGAAAAATAAATATAAAAGAAACTTTCTACATCCACCTAACTGATAGCACTGTAAACCTAGCATAGAAGTTGGCAAGATCTGGATACCACTCCTGAAGATTTAAATTATAATGGGGAAAACTTCGTTATTTTGGCTCCTGTGTAGTTGCAGCCTGTATTATAAGTGCACAAAAATGAAGCATTACTTTTTTTTAGTGTTACACTCACCATGCTTTTATTTGCTTTCAGTGGGAATAATAGTATAATTAATATTTCTATATACATTTAAGATTTATGAGTATAGGTAAGCAGTTGGGTATATAATTTTGAGACAATAATATATTTGAGTTTAACAACTTTATTTAATATTTGTTACTTATATTGTCATATTCAAGATATTTATCAAATATACAGGGACAAAGGTCTTTGCTCTACCCAGTGGATCTACAGCGGCTAACAGATTTATCAGCGAGATGATAGATGTAGTCAAGCCACGTGTTAAGGATTTAGTAGAGGATACCAATAAGGTAAGACGTGCGAACACTTTTACGGCCCAGTTACCTCTGTACACATTATTTCTGCGTATAGTTTTAAAGCTGTTGAACTAACTAAAGAATAACAGTATATATCCATGAATCATGTCAGTTGCTTAACCCATTCATCATAGAATGGGTTTATTAAACCCGTTTTTTTTTCAGCCAACATTGAATGAAGTATGATTATATTACACCCGACATTAATCCAGTCAGAGTGAAGTATGATTATATTACACCCGACATTAATCCAGTCAGAGTGAAGTATGATTATATTACACCCAACATTAATCCAGTCAGAGTGAAGTATGATTATATTACACCCACAATTAATCCAGTCAGAGTGAAGTATGATTATATTACACCCGACATTAATCCAGTCAGAGTGAAGTATGATTATATTACACCCGACATTAATCCAGTCAGAGTGAAGTATGATTATATTACACCCAACATTAATCCAGTCAGAGTGAAGTATGATTATATTACACCCGACATTAATCCAGTCAGAGTGAAGTATGATTATATTACACCCGACATTAATCCAGTCAGAGGTAATGGTTTGTTTAAATGTGAAGTCCTAATTTTTTGTTTTTAGAATTACAAAGTTGTTTTATTATTCTAAGAATAATTTGTCATGTATTTTTTACCCTTTGTGTTTTTGTTGGTAATTAATGTAAGTTTTATTATCTGTAATAATTGAAAGGAAAGTAAGAATTCTAAACATTGGTCGCAATATTTAGTATTCTCTTTGTTTTTTATGGTCAAAACACAGTTTACAGTTATATTTCAACCCAAAAGTGGATGTTAACTGGACCTTTAGTAATTAAATAATTAAACTATTTTTATGGTAGTCACTGCTATTACATCATCTGGTTTTAATTCGTCAGTTGCATCCTTTTTGATATATAAATTCAATTGTGAAATATATATATATGTACTCGAGAACAGAAAATAATTTATTATCGAAATGTACACGGTGACTCAAATCTGTTTATAACCTGTAAAAAAAAATTGAAAACTCATTAAAGAGCAAAATGCTCTCGTAAGTCACTGGTTAATAACTAAAAGCTTCAGGGTTATACTAGAAACCATTGTATAAAATTAGAAGGGTAGGCTTAGCGAAGTGAAAATATTGCTACAAAATAATGTATTCTAATAAGTAGAATTAGCATTGGAAAAAAAAATAAAAACATATGAAACAATGACTGTACCAAACCTTATAAATAATGTTTCTGGTGTTCAGCTTCTTAACAACATTGTATGTCACACTTCGTAGTTATTTGTTTTCTATGAATCTGAGAATAAATTTATATACGGATTTTTCATAAATTTTTCAGCTGAAAATGTGGATCCAGTTCATGATTCCTCGTATCGAGGATGGAAATAACTTTGGTGTTTCTGTTCAGGTATGTGTGTGTGAAGTGTCTTCATTAACTACAGGGTGTATCTTGCTCATCTTTGATTTTAAAAAATGATCAGTGTTGGGTATTGGTTTGTCCAGGCAAGTTAATGTTGTTTTTCTACAATTGTTTAGTACAAGTGACAAAGCTACTCAAGTGGTGTTTCTTGATAACCTCTAATAAACTATCTAGAATGTGGTAGTTCTAAGTCTTTAATGAACTTAAACAACAAATATATTAAAATGGATTTATCTGTGAGCATACAAAAGTGATAAAAGAGATGTTTAGTTCAAAATTATATGAGAGCTGGAAGTCTCTAATAATTTGAAACAAGTCAGTCAACATGTAATAGCATTAATAGTCTCATTGCGACCTTAGTATCCATTTGTCAACTTGAATAACACTTCAAACAACTAATTGTTTGGACTTACACCATTTCCAGTTATTTGTAAGTTATACAAGAGTTGACTTTTTTAATTTGCTCTGCATTGTATTACTACCTAAGTGCAGAGCTGTATGCGTATCTAAGGCTTTATTTTTGTGGAATTTCTTATTGTTTAACATTATAGAATAATTATGTTAAATGAATGTCTCAAAAAAAAAATTTTTTTTAATGTTTGAGTTCCTTTCATGATTAAATATTTTAAGTTATAAGTTTTACGGAGAAAAAAAAAATCTTATAACGAAAGCATATTTTAAAAAACAACGTGACCACTTGTTACAGTATAATTTGTACCTGTATTCCATTCTACCAGGAAGACACTTTAGGAGAGATTAGAACGGTGGAAAGTGAAGGTGCTTCCTACTTTGATCAGCTGTCTCGATATTACATGACTAGAGCTAAAATTGTCTCAAAAGTTGCCAAATATCCTTATATCGTAAGTAGGAAATCTTTTTTTAAACAGTTTCTTTCATAATTATAAATTCCAATAGCATTTACTTAGTTGTTAAGTTTTAGGTACAACAAATTAAACCATTCAGTAACGGAGTTGAAATTTTTTCATTCGCTACAATTTGATAAACTGTTGATCAATAAAACACTTTATTACAACAATCAACTTTGATATTTTACGTAGAAATTTATTTCAGCACAGTAAGAAGATTATGTGAAACATTTTAATCTGAAAAAATTCATCGTGTCCAGCGTTTACTATTGTAAACTTCTTTGGGGAGAAAAGTGTTTCATCGACATTGAAAGTATTACGAATGAAAACGTTTTTGTGTACAGAGGAGTCATTGAACTTCTCATGAACAAATTATATGTTCTTCTGCAGTGGTGTGTTATTGTGGGTTGTGTTGTTGTATGTTCTTCTGCAGTGGTGTGTTATTGTAGGTTGTGTTATTATATGTTCTTCTGCAGTGGTGTGTTATTGTGGGTTGTGTTGTTATATGTTCTTCTGTGGTGTGTTATTGTGGGTTGTGTTGTTATATGTTCTTTTGTGGTGTGTTATTGTGGGTTGTGTTGTTATATGTTCTTTTGTGGTGTGTTATTGTGGGTTGTGTTATATGTTCTTCTGTGGTGTGTTATTGTGGGTTGTGTTGTTATATGTTCTTCTGTGGTGTGTTATTGTGGGTTGTGTTGTTATATGTTCTTTGTGGTGTGTTATTGTGGGTTGTGTTGTTATATGTTCTTTTGTGGTGTGTTATTGTGGGTTGTGTTGTTATATGTTCTTCAGTGGTGTGTTATTGTGGGTTGTGTTGTTATATGTTCTTCTTCAGTGGTGTGTTATTGTGGGTTGTGTTGTTTTTGTTCTTCTGCAGTGGTGTGTTATTGTGGGTTGTGTTATATGTTCTGCTGTGGTGTGTTATTGTGGGTTGTGTTGTTTTTGTTCTTCTTCAGTGGTGTGTTATTGTGGGTTGTGTTGCAGCACCACCAGTGATGTCGTTAGAACCCACACATTTGTTTCTCAGCTAATTTGTAACTATTCAGTTTTGAAATGTTGCAAAGGATAGACTTATGGCAGGAGGGTCACATCACAGCCTTTCTGAGGAAGAATACTCCTGTTGTAAGATTATTAACCCTTTGCATCTAGGTGTGACTGTTTTGCCCATGTAATGACCTGTTACAGTGTTACATTCAAAATTTAATTAAACCAATTTATGGTCAAGGCATTTCAATAAACTTGACATCTAAACGTAGCTTAATACACAGGTTTTTTTTATATGATCTAAGTTTTAATGTCAAGAAGAAACGTTTAAAAAAATTCTCAATTTAAATTTGGTTGTATCACTTGATGAGTCTTAGCTCCAATTTTGCTTTAAAATTTTCTAACTTCAAAAATAGGCTGTTCCAGTTTCCAACCAAATAGAAACACAAACTAAACATAATTTAACACAAGCAAGAATTTAAAATTTGCTCTTCTTACCTTCTTGATTTGCTGAGAAATCAATAAATTTGTCACACCCAACAGAGACCCTCCCCCTCCCTTGTCTCTCTATCTATCTTAACTTTCAAGGTTATTTTGCTAATTTTACAGTCCAAGTCTCGCATCAAAATAATCTGTTAATGAGTCAGACAATTAATCGATTATCAATTTCCACTGACCACCCAACTCTATCAACTTTCAAAATTAATGAGTCAGACAATTAATCAGATTATCGAGTTCCACTGACCACCCAACTCTAATGTCAACTTTCAAAATTAATGAGTCAGACGATTAATCAGTTATCAAGTTGCACTGACCACCCAACTCTAATGTCAACTTTCAAATTAATGAGTCAGACGATTAATCGATTATCGAGTTCCACTGACCACCCAACTCTAATGTCAACTTTCAAAATTAATGAGTCAGACGATTAATCAGTTATCAAGTTCCACGGACCACCCAACTCTATCAACTTTCAAAATTTCTCATTTCAAGATGCAGTAAAGATTTTCCTCTTTCACTTGCTAAACATAAAGAACAGGTAAGAATCAATGGATGTAAAGGCTGTCCCATTTTTATTAAATCCTCATCAGAAATACACCAGAATGCCTCTCAGAGCATCTAAAGTTTTAAAATTTTACAGGGGGAGCAAGCCCCCAGATCCCTCAGAAAGTTTGTGCTTGTAGTTTTCACTGCTTCAGATCCTGGCTAATACCCTTGAATATATGCCAATGATCTTTTCAGGAAAATTTCTTTTTTTACAGTACTATATATATATATTTATTTATTTATTATTAAGACAATTTTTTTAACATCAAATGAGTAGTTATTTTTAAATCACCAAAGTAATTTGTCTTGCAAAATAAGAAATCACTTTTAATGTGTTTAACCAATAGGAAGATTACAGGCGAACAGTTGATGAACTTGATGAAAAGGAATACATTGGACTGAGATTAGTGCTAAGTGAAGTCAGAAATCATTATGTAAGTTTTGTTGGTTTTTAAAATGTACAAAACTACAATACCAAATAAAAAAAATAGTTTAATGCACCTTTCTAATAGGATCCAATATTAAATAAAATTTAAGAACAAACAAATTGAGGGATGTTATTGGGTAATTTACTTAAATTGTTTGAATGTTCGTTTTATAGCACCCCCTAGTGGCACAGTGGTATGTTTCGGACTTCAAACGCTAGAAACCGGGTTTTTTATACCTGTGGTGGGTAGAACACAGATAGCCCATTGTGTAACTTTGTTTGAATGTTCGTTTTATAGCACCCCTCTAGTGGCACAGTGGTATGCTTCGGACTAGAACTAGAAACTGGGTTTTTTTTATACCTGTGGTGGGCAGAGGACACATATCCCATTGTGTAACTTTGTGCTTAAGTTACAAACAGACAAATCATTTTATAAGCTAATGACACTTACTTTAAAATATTGATTTTGATATCATTGATTAAATTGTTCACATACTCATTTTTACCCAGAACTATTATAATATTCTAAAAGGTGACTGGTATTATCTTCTGTATATTATTGTTACAAAAATATATATAAATGTTTATTGCTTTTAAACACTGTTAAAATAATTTATTCCAGTTTTAGTCAACAAAAGTGAAAATATTTGTTGTTACCACTTTCCAATTTCCCCTGTTTTTCCAGGCTACTCTTCATGACGTCATCACTAAAAACATGGAAAAAATAAAGAGACCGAGGACATCCAACAGTGAAGCTATGTACTGAATGTAGTTGGGGAATAAAATGATAGGAAAGTTCTCAACACCTTGTGGCTTGTTGAACGTTCACACAAACAGCCAGAAACATTCAGAGTACTTTCTAAGATACTGTTTTTTTATTTTATTTGAAAGTCATAAATAAAAGGAAAATAAAGTCAATGAATATAAAAGGGAACTGCTAAAAAGAAATCTTTCAAACTAAAATATCCAGTAAATACATGTAATTTTTAAAGAAAATAGAAGGGAATTAACTGTTTAAAATTATTCTTTTCACAGTAGAACTCTTTAATTTCAACCCATATTTTAGTATACGTTTGTTTTTCCTAATACTCTAACACAAAGACTTGGTTTTGTGACTATTTCTCTCAATCTCACTTAATATTCAACTTGTTTTCCCACACAAAATATAACTTTACACAGTGTAGAAACTTTTCAGCGGTTGTGTGTTTTATTAAAAATACTTACAAATTTCAAGACAAGTAGTTTTTGTATATTTTATACAAAAGAGAAGGGGAGTGACTACTCTTACTACAATTGGAGTTATCTATTTTTGAGATAAAGCTATTGATTATGTATTTGTGCATAGTTTTATAGGTCATTCATTACTTTCGAAGCAGATCGTGATTTGAAGATATTGTAATTTTTTTTATAATGAATGTTTGAGAAAGTGTAGGAATATACTTTAAATTTGTAATACAGGTTTTTAACCACTGATGAAATGCTGTAAAAGATGTGATGTTTAGTTTTATACAATATACATGTCGTTATTTGAATATTTCTGATGGCATTTTGTGGTAGTGGTAGTGTTGGCGATGATGTT